TGTGTGTGTGTGTGTGTGTATCGTATGTGTGTGCATATGTGTGTGTGTGCGCGTGTGTGTCAAACTTGTGTGTGCACCTCTACTTCACCCGTTAGTTCCATGCAGTTGTTTTCCCACACGTTCATTTTAGATGAACCGCTCTTCCCGTACCCTTTCCATAGCGTAGCACTCAATCATTCGTCACCGATCCTATTGTAACGTCAACCATATGGCAATGTCACGCATCGACCTCCTTTCTTTTCTTTTACAATAACGTGAGAACCGTTATTGTTACATTATGAAAACGAACTTTCTTTTTGCTAAAGACTGTTAATTCAAAAGAAAAAAAGGATCTATATTAAAAAATGGATTCAAATTTCTCTCGAATTTTTTTCTTCCAAAATATTCATATCATTTTATACATTGTTCGTATTTTTTTTTATAAATTTCATTTTAAAATTAATAGTACCAAATTCATGCAAAGCTTACTTCTGTAATAAACAGCTATTTTATTTGCGATCAGAAATCTAGCACTAAAGTTGATATTACAGAGACTTATAAAAATGTTGAGATAAAAGTAAATTTCTAAATCAAGCAACGATTCCGTGTTGCTTTTTGCGGAGCATACATACTTCCCCTCGTTTCACGTAAGGCTGTGCGTTGATGGGCAACGTTTCAAACCGTGTTGCCGATCTGAAGTTAAACGGTTTGAGTGTTGTTCAACATTGCTACGCTTTATCTCTTTCTCCTAACTTCAATTCTGGTTCGGCACTTAATCAACATTCAAATGTTAAATGATATCATTCTAATAAAGCACTGATTACATCATTTCATATAGATAACGTCACGGACTATTAATTATTTAATGCTTAAAGCAAATTAAAAATATGCTTTTTAGGTTCGGAAAATACACTTTATCTCTGCAATTAAAATTTAATTCAACTTATTAGGATTTTTTCTAATAATTTGAATTAAATTTTAGTTGTTTATTGATGATAAAAAGTTTCACAAATTATACAATTTTTAATTTATTGAACTATTAGAATCATACATCACACTATATATCAGATTAAATTAGAATCGAAATTTAAAATCTCCAATGCATGGATCCAATGAATTGATTGAAAAAGAATTTCATTATAATTAATCATTTTCTCCTTCCTTACGTACCTTTGTTGGACTTCTTCTAAAAGTCATCATAAATGTTTGATGCCATAAATTTCAAATCCAATTCTATTCTTTCTTAAAAAGAATTTTACTTTTAAAAATTAATTGATCAGATTCAAATTTTGAAAATTGTTTCAAAGATCACACAAAGCATTATTTGTCAAGTATATAGCACTGTTTCTTTCCTTTTTTAGTTTTTTATACTGTGCAATATTCTTAATGATATTTTTTTGTCACCACTATGATTTGATACAGATAATACAGAGCTGTTAGCTTTCAAAATTAGCTATAGAATGGTATGATTGATGACGTCCTCGTTTGCCACCGCCGAAACATTTGTTTATCATATGAGCTGGGAAATAACAACATAAGCATGGTACTATCAGTGACATAAACGCCAAAAATAGCCATCGTTTCATACGTTTCAGTGGTGACACGTGACGTGGTCCAAGTGAAAATACATTCTGCAAATCGCTATTAATTTATTCAATACTGAATAATCTAATAATATTTTCATTTTAATAAATCAGATGCGTATTTATATTAACTTAAAGAAATGATATTTGACGATAAATATTTAAGATGGAAAGATTTTTTTAAGTAGTAATACAAACTTTCAAAGTTAAAAGAAATCTTATTTAGATGTAAATGATATTACTGTTTAATTTTAGTATAAAAACTAAAATCAATTCTTTGTTTTTTTGTTCCTCAAAAACTAACATAGCCTTGTCCGAAACGGCTAATATTGACAGGCATATCATCGTCACTCCTACAACAATGATATACAGCGCCTTCCGCTATTGGATAGCATGTAAAAAAACGAATTGTACGTTCGATAGGATCCGGAGCTTCTCTGAAAACACATTGATCCTATCATTTTTAAATAACAAATATTTAAAATAAATTATAATCGAAAACTTCGCCATCTGTTGTTGTATGAATTGAAATATTTGAACATTTATGGAACATGTTAAAATACAATTAGATTTATTACTTGCAAGAACCAGAACTGTTTTCATTACAGTCGAACCATTCACCACAGTAAAAGCATCGCAATGGCGATTTTAATCCTTCCTTTCTCTTTGGTAACACAATACGATCATTGTTTTCATAAACAGAGAAATTCCTCATTTCTTTCAGAAAACGAGTCTTTTCGACCACATCCATTGGATGTGAAATGCGATCTGTAATGATCGTATTGGCAAAAAATAAATTGATATTGATATAATTATAAATTCTGAATTTCTAAATTTAACGATTGATAATGTAGTTGTATAGTTGATTACCTGATACATGTGAAATATCTCGATGACAGATAAATGTTCCTTTTTTAGCCTGTAACTTCTTCATAGATTCATTTCGCACCACAAGAACCGGCTTTTTTTTATAGGTCTGAGAAGTGCATAATGATAGCTTAAAGGTAAATTGAAGTATTGCTATCGAATAATAACATTGAAACTAACAAACTCAGTGATCACTAACAAACATCGTCATTAAAAAAGCTTGAATTTTTTGTAAATTTCGATGAATAAGTTCACCTGTTCTTGAATCATAATTACAGATGTTGAAGCACTATTGTTTGCAGTTTGCATTCCAGTTTAGATTAATCACAATCTGCAAATAATAAATAAACTAATAAACAAGTAAATTAGCTGTAATATATAAATTAACAAAGATGAATTAAATTTAGTCTAAACTGAATAAGATATACATCGTTTGAACAGAATTTTGAACAGTATCATTTAATTAACAGCTGCAAGAAATTATTTCGTATATAAAACTTTTCTAAAAATTAAGAACTAAAAATCTTTTTCTTCACTATTATAATGATGTCTCAATGCAGTGGAAACAGCTTTAAAAAATCTTGCTAATAATTTAAATTCTTCTTTAAACTGGATAGAAATTGTTCTTGAAAGTCAATCCTACATTTTAAGCACTATTAGAAATTTCGAGACGGAATGATTTGCGCTCTTCTGTTCTCATATATATATATGCTGAGAGTAACAAATTGCGCAGTTGTTTCTCATCCATTGTCTATAACTATCTTTCTTAATTACCGCAAACAGAATTGATTGATCAGACTTTCTTTTTCAATGTATCGTGTGATTTATGTTGTAAAAAAGAACGGCGTTTTTTTTATCTACATATAAATTCAATAAAAGAACTAACAGTCAAACAAAAAAAAAATCAAAAAAGAGCGATGTAAAAGCTAACAATCAAAAAGAAGTCATTCTTCGGAAAAAGGAAGTGATGGAGGATTTTTTTGAACATATAATTTTGTAACCTTATGATTCAGTTAAAATAAATTCAAAAAATATGTATATGGTAATAACTGTGGAGTTTTAAAGAGAAGTGAGTGCATGTTTATTTGTTGCAGATGAGATGATAGCAATCGTAGAATTTAATTTCAGTCAAAATTCATCGATAAAATTAAAATTGATGGAAATTTAACGCTTCTTTTTTTTAATTCATACAATTTCTCATGTAATAAGTTTATAGAATTAAAATCCATAAGAAATATACATTTGAAGAATTGTTAAAAATGATCAATGACAATTTTGCTATTATCATTAATCATTTTTAACATTCTTGCTGATTTTTGATATATTTGATAAAGTTGAATATCAAATTATTAAACTATAATTTTCATCTAAAATAAGCATACTAAAATATTCTCCACATTAGTTTTATGTTTGCAAATTCCATACAGATGATAGCGTCATCATAATTGGTATTGACGTAAATCGGATTGCGAGATAAGGTGATAACGTTTATCCCAGACTTGAAGTCATTGTAGTTTGATCTAATTTTATGACTGAAGAGATGATGATCAGTGCAGAGAATATCAGAAATTAAATATATGTTGGTACTATCGATTTTTTACGTTACAGAAATTTTACATACATTTTTTGTATTTTTGCATGTACAAAGAGAAATTTGAAACATAACCTACGTCCTATAAATTACATGTGATTTCAAACATGGAATAAATGTAAAAAATTTCACTAAGAGATTATTATATCACTGTACGATGCAAATATTGGACAATTACATATCTAAGTAATATATAGATTATGATAATTGAATTATGATTACACGTGATAATCTGTTATAATAATATTAGATTAAATAAAGTCCGGATATGATTGGATAGGATCAGATCATAATCAGATAAAAGATCAATAATCAATTTAATGAAAATAGCATTTTGTACAATCCAACAGATTTTATTTTCTGAAGTTATTTTTAAAAAAATCAATGTAGAATTGAAAATGAACCAGTGAAAGTATAAGAATAACTTTGATGTAAATGTTCTTATCCTCTAATAGTTACAATTTGTAATTTTCCCACTGTGCATAATCATAACCAGCTTATTATTTAAAATGAAAAAAAGAAAAGAAAGTTTTTTTTTAGTCTCAACATGTCGAAAGGAAATAGTGAAAGATGGAAAAATTTTTCGACACATAAATGTCGATTAGAATGATGATGATGATGTACAGAGGTGGAAAATCATCGATCAGATTCAGATCTTATCGATCATTCTAGAAAAGTAGCGCTGAACACTTCCATTCACTCAGCGCAGATGCCACCTATGGGTGCCATTATGTTGAATAATATTTTATATCGCCATATGGACAAAATATGCTATAATGGTAGTCTTCGACAACGACGATACTATCAAAACGAATTAAACAATAGTTGTTTGGGCAAAAAAAAAAGTTCTGTTCGTATTTTGAGATTCTACTTGAAAGTATGGCAATTTTAATTTCGATAGGTTGAAGAAGTTTCATTGGGTTCGAATGGAGTGCAAATAATTCAGCCTGTAATTTATTTTGCTGATTTAGATTTCATGTGTTATGCATGTACTCAAGGAATTAATTTTGATGTTAGTACCTCGAAAAAGTGGGTTTATTCAATCAGTTATTCAGTATAGTTTTAAATGTGTTTTCTAATATCGAACTTCTTTTTATTTCAAGCTTCAAATCATTTTATCAGTTTCAAATGGATAATATCAACGATTGGCTTATAAAAAATTTGGTAGAATCTATTTTATTTAATCACTATTGCTAAATAATATGAATTCTTCAAATATACTTTTTTAGATGCTTTGATGTCACTGTAATTCTGTCGATTGGTAGCTAAATATTCAAACAAAAAATTTAAATATGCAAAAAAAAAGTTTTCAAATTTTCTAAATAAGAAAGCTTTTAAAATGCAAGAGAAGAAATGGAATGTAAATTTTGATTTTGGGATGGCGATCATGAAATGGTAGTAAAAATCGTCATTTTAAAACATTACATATCACTCATTCTTTCTTGTTTTTTATTCAACAATATTTCCTAAATGCTTTTTTTTGAATTTATTTTTACTTACTATTTCAAATGTTCATGTATGTACAGTTACTTGCTTTTTTGACTTTGCAAATTTTATGGCTATCATTTATGTAGCATTTTATCATAAATACGCAGCTCATATTAAAATTTTATCCAGCAATAAAATATTCGACAAATTTAAAATACTATAAGAAATACATCTATTTACGCATTTGTTGCTAAGGCTTTGGACTATTGAAAAATAAATATTTTTGACAAGATCATATATGATGAAATTCAAAGTTTGAAATAATGACAATATTAATTAAAGTATTATAAAATTTAGTTGGCTAAAATAACTTAACAAACCATAAATTCAAATATGAACATTAAATCTATTAACATCAAATAGTTCATAAAAGTCTATTTCAATGAATTATAATGAAATTTGTATGATAAATATGTCGCACAATATTTTTATATCGAAAGAGAATTCCAATTATGATTTAAAATTATTCGTTTAATTATTTCTGTAATTATCTCTAACACAATAGGTATATTAGCTGCTGATGCATTGGACATCTGTATTTGCAAAAATTTTTTTGTTTGTTCTGTAATTATTTTAATATAAGAATTTATTTCAGTTAAATTATGAACAACCTAATTAATAATTCAATTTCGCTTCCGCAGGTCATATCTCATATCTGTTATCACCAATGATCATCAATTCCTTTGCTGTAAAAATCGATAATCCCATCAAGATTGAATTGAATCAGTCTCATCAAATAATTTTTTATGAATTACTAATTTGTCAATAGAGTTTCATTTTGTCTCGATCAGATAAAACAGGAAAGTATAAAAGGAGATTTATGGGTAGATAAAAAGACGATCAAACCTGATGGATTCTTACAATGCGATTTCTCGAGAATACCTTCTTCAATAAGTAGGCGATAAATAAGAAATATACTAAAAATAAAAAAGAACGATTCGGCGGTTAAAGCGCTGTAAGTGTAAAAAGGATGAAATGTCCCATAGTTTACAATCATAAAAAGCATCATCCACAATAGCGTACCAAATCGAAATACAAAAAAACTGAAAAAAAATTCTACAGACAATTCTAAATTTCAATCTAAGACTGAAATAGGAAGTTGGGATCAGAATTTCTAAGACAAGTTCCTATTTAGATCTTATAAAAGTTTACGACATATGCAAAAAAGTATTAATTCGCTTTACTTATCTGCAATTTTATTTTCTTCTTTAATGAAATGACTGCTTTTTCAATGAGATATTAGATTAGAAAGAACTTGAATTCCCTGTTTTCTTCACAAACTTTTTAAAAATCAACAAGGTGTAGTTAATTTAAAAAAGGAGAAATACGTGAAAAATGTGAGTAAAGAAGCTGTCTGGTAATATATATCTTTATGTGGATCTCGAATGAGAAGTCTCATGATCGAACGAATATGTAAAAAACTTCTGAAATCACTATAAATTATCATTTCAGAAATTATTACAATTATGATTCAAAATATTTAAATGGGACACAGTTATCCAAGGCAAATTTATATGTCCTAAGTTTTTCTAAGCTTATATGAGCTATTTTTCCTAGAAAGCTATACAAATTGAAGAAATTATTGAGATTTAAGGTAGAAGTGAAAGAGTTAGAAAAACTGACGTATTAATTTCGACTAATAAGGCCCAGTAAATGTATGGAAGAAATTTATGTGAAAGCATTCCCACAGAAAAAATACTGTAAACGACCATATGATGAGCTAAGATTGCGTGAGCATGCCAAGAACTATCATTCTTCATAACATCCACAGTATCGTAAAGAAAATATGCTTCAAAAATTGCTTTATTAAAATTGAAGTAACTTCAAAATCCGTTTATTATAAATCACCAAAATTCAAATTATTAAATGAAATGTTCATTGCAAGAAACACTTCTTTTTCAGATCGAGATTTTTTTAATTCAACAAATTCCTTGCAGTAAGTTTTAAATGCAAATTTACCCATTGAGAAATAAATTAATTGCGCTGCAACTGGACTGTACCAATGTATCGCATCTTCCAGCATAACCGCTGGATGTGTAATGAAGAAGATTAGAGAGCAGCAACCGGTGATGCATGAATGGACCAACGATAGTGTCAAATTCTGTAACCGATGGCGCCTAAAGAAAGTTTGCTTTAAATAACTATGAAAACTACTCTTGACACCCATAAGCTGTCATAAATGAAATCTTGCTTAATCAATCACTTGTCGAGTATTTAAAAACTTGAAGAGAAACTATAAAATATAATTAATTTACCAATCATTAAATATTCGTTAAAAGAAAATTCTTTGCTTGAATTTCAGATAAACTAAATCTTTTTAAGATTAATAAAGAAGCATACGCTAATGGTAAATGATTTGTCCAAAGAAGTTGCTTGACGAAATATCCAAGGATTTGCAAGATGATAAAATAGGTTAAGATAGGTAAGAAGAAGTTTGTTTTTAGGATATCATTTATCCGTGGTGGTTCCCATTCTAATCCATATTTCATTGAGCTAATTATATGACCCGAAATTTCCTTCATCATATCGAGTGTCTTTTTTCTTTTACTCCATTTCAGATCCCAATAATTAATCAATCAATCTGTAAATTTCGAAAATTTCAGATATTGCAAATCACATGAGAAAGCAAACATCTAAATTCAACACGAATTCTTTAAAATCTATTTATGCATGCTATGAAAGCTAAAACTGCTCAACAAGCATCATTTTTGAATTGAAAAAAATGGTACAAAATAGATAGAGAAATTATGAGAAGTAAATTAGAACAGTAAAATGAAAATGGAAACAAAAATTTTAGTAGAAATAGTTTAATAAAAACGTAATTCAAATGGAGGGCAAATAGTTCAGTTTGCAATTTTATTTACCAAGCTTAATTGATTGAAAATTTTGTGCTTCACGCATAAATTAAACAAATGATGACAAACACTAATCAATGATAAATCTCGAAAAATCAGACTTATTCAGTACTGTTAGCAGTAGTTATTATCACTAAAGATATAACAATTTTAGAAAATAGCACATAATTAATGGCCGATTTCAGTGAGCAAAAGGGTACGCATTAGCCTTTGAAGTAGAAACACCGATGATACATTTGTTTTTAACTAATAATGATGGACTGTACACTAGGTGTTTTTGTCAAAATATGCAAATTCTGATGAATTTCTTGTGACAGAGATTTGAAAATCTAAAATTATAGTACAATAAATGATTACTCACATTTGTGAGTTGCAGCTTTTAAAGCATATAGTTAGATTCCATTTTGGTTTTTGGTTAACTTGAACATATATTTTAAGAATTTGAAATAGAATCTCAAATAGCAAAAAAGATTAATCTGATATCAGAAAAGATGTCAGATTATTTTCCATTTAGAGGAGGAACATTCATTTTCAAAAACTGATCATTTCAATCAGAGTTGTGTCACCCAATTAAAATCAATAATGTCATCTGATCCTAAATTAAGAAATATTCTCAATCATTCTGAATGAAGAAAAATCAAATATTAGATTGAATTTGATTTCTCATTCCAAACGATTGTTCTAAAGCTTTTTTTTTGTCTTTAAAATTATCGAACACAAATGCGAAAGGAATATTCCTAGTCGGTATGATCAGTTCATAAGGAAGAAAAAGAATTACAATGTAGACTATTTTTAATGAATTTTTGAAATTTCTACATCTCAAATCAAATAAAATTAAGATAAACAGACGAAGTTCAGGTACTTACAGAGTGCATTGCAATATCAACAAAAAGTACGACTTCAGGACGAAGACAACTTTGTCATTTTTTCAAAATTCATTTACTTGTTAAAAAGAAATTTTTCACTTATGAATGCAAAATTAAAATAATAATATTAAAATTTTGACCAAATTGATTTGAATTTATTGAAGACAAATTGCTCAGATAAATTAACAAATTTTTCTAAAACATACATATTATCTCGTGAAAAATTTCGCTTTATTTAGTATAAAGAAATATTATGCACTTCTCAGTGTCAGACTTGTTTTTATCAGAATTAAATTCAATTTTTCTTCTTTTTTAATATAAAGTTTTTTTCCATTGCTGAGAAAACTCGTCCTGCATCCGAAAAAATGGCATTATATTAATTGTAGATTGATTATTCTCGATGAATCACCTTTACCTTCCTATCAATCTTTTATCATCTAGCCTACTAGATTGGTTCGCTATCATGTAAAAATATCTCATTCCTTTAAGACAAATTTTATCACTGTTAGCGAAACTGAAGTTGTAAAGTGCAAATTTCAAAGGTTTTGATTTGAAGAAATTGAGTATGACAACAAAGTAGACAAATAGATTTCAAATGACTTTACCGGATCGAAAGAAATTTGTATTTGAGAGATGACCTCAACGATGAAGAATAATGAAAACAATCTATTTTGACCTTAGAACAGACTTATTAGCAAGCACTATTGCTGATTACAGGAAACCGATTAGCATATTACATGAAAGGATATTTGAAAGATCAATGACGTGAATAAGTTCGGAAGTAACGATTAAAAGAATATAAATATCTCTAAAATTTATGAATTGTGCGTTTATAAAATGGCATAAGTAAACTTATAAAACCGTAAAAATCACCCAAAGTATAATTTTACAATTTAAAATCAATAGTCATTCCTGATCAGTTTCAAATAACTAACACTTATTTGCATAATAGTGGTGAAATGTATTGACTTAATTTGCATTGCCTTTCATAAATGTTTTAGAAAATAAAGATGAAACAATGAGATAACGCATTAGACAGTAACAAAGAAGCAATGCTTTTTATGACAGATATAAAAAACTCCGAGATCATGCGGCAGCATTATCATTCGAATCACAAACTTTAACAAAAGCTCATTAGGTTCACATTTTTTATTGTTATTTCGCATAAGTGCAAACATGTTTCTATACAAAGCAAACTTCAAAAGAATGGAACGATACTATATTATGAATTTAATTAAGAACTTGAATTAATGAAAAAAAATGAAAGTCTCGTCATTTTTGGAAAATTTGAAGATTGAATATTGTTATAAAATCAAAGTGTTCATATGTAGGTAATTTTGAAAAGTAGTATTAAAATTCATTTTTTTTCCCAAATATCTCATTTCAAAATGATAACAATTGCTTATAGCTCTGTCTTTTGAAAATTGAAATATAACTGCACAAATAATAAAATAAAATGCAAATATTGACTGATATTAAAAATGTATAATTCCTGTTAAATTATACATTTTTAAGGGACATTTAATTAAATTACACGATAATTGTTACTGGAAATACAAAATCAAATGAGGAGTGACGTTAAAAGGAAAGATATGAATGATATTTTAACATGAAAAAAGTTAGACCCGAATAATGTGTCTTTGATATGATTTTCTTATCACTAGACAGATAAATAAGAGGGTATATTTTGAAATTTCGAAATTCAACAACACATGAATTATTCAAATTAGTAAATAATATTTTGTTCAATTAACTCACACACAGCTTTGAAAATATATTGTTGAAAAGAAGAAGCAATGTATAATGTAACAGAACTAAAAGAATCAATTAGCGATAAACAGATGACATAGGCGGAAAAGGAATTCAATCAACTGTTTTTCGTATCTTCCATAATGCAAACTGATTTTTGAGAATCGCTGCAAAAAATATTTCTTGTTAAAAAATAATTTCATCTAATGATTATAAACAAGCAAATCATAATATTAGCTACTGTTATCGTAAATTGATAGATTATAGTTCAAATTGAGTACAGTTGAACTCTTTCAATTCTTTATTGTTGGTTAACAAAAGAGCATTTTTTTTCACCTCATTTCGCCGCAACATAAAATCTAAAAATTATGCTTTGAAAAATAGGAAAGACTAAATTACAATTTATTTGAGTTGTAAACAAAATTCCTAAATAAGTATTAATTAATTTGAACTAATTATCTGACGAAAAAAAAGAAACAAACCGGCCAATGGCCGTATATTGTCGGCCAAATTCTCCCAAATATCCGTCAGATGCTAAAATTCGTACAAACAAAATGGCATTAATGATGAGAAAAAATCCTCCACCAATAAATGCAATTCCCAAATAAAAGATATGAAAATGATGGCGATTTATCCATGCCCAATTAATCTGCCATATTTGTACAGCAAATCGAAATAAAATAAATCTGTAAGTTTTTTTTAATTAGCTGACATTTTATGTTAACAGCAAAGGTTGTAAAATGAAATGATATCAAAAAAATATTTTCAAATTTAAGAGAAATTAGTTTATAGTATGAAGAAAATTTAATTAAACGTTCAAATTTTGAGCATAAATGTTCATTTGAGATTGGAAAATTTGAAAATGTAACTTGACTTGATAATGGTTTATAACTTACGTAATAATATTTGTGAATTGAATTACTCGAAAAAGGCTCTGTTTCAAAATGTTATAGCCGGTGATTTGCATTAGCGAACGAAGATGTAAAAAAATGCTAAAAAAGTTATTAAAACTTTTAACAAAATTAAATATAAATAACTTTTCCATTTCTAAGTTTAATAGAAACCCACCTATTAATTTCCATTAAAAGAGCCCAGTAAGCGTAAGGGATGAATTTACGAGAAAGAACGGCTGAAGCGAAAGCAAATACGCTTGCAGTATGATGAAATAGTAATTCGATGGTCCATCTCGAGACTTCATGTCTTAGCATATCCATCGTATCACAAATGAAATATGCTGCAGTAATAAAGATATTCTTCAATTTAGGCAGCAACGAAAAAGAAGTAAAATTGGCAGGAGTTTCATTTTTTTTTTTCATTAATTTAAGTCCTCAATTACTTCATAGTGTAGCTAGCATCGTTATCACTCCATTATCAGTGGGTAATAAGTTTTAGTAATTCATCTATCTATAGGTTGAACAATATGAGAATTCATCGAACCCATAGATAGAATTGGAAGTTGTACGGCCCACAAACTGTACCAATGTATCGTTTCTTCTAGCATTACTTGCTGATGGGTTATGGAAAATATAAATGACCACAGGCCACTGATACTTGAATGAATTACACATAGCGTTAGATTGCGCAATCGATATTGTCTGCAACAAAACGCTTCCTTCATAAAATGTACTTTTTTTTTTAACTTAATCCAGTGGAAATAAAGCTGTTCTCTCTCTAACTCTAATTTTTCTCAGTTTCGTTGCCAATAGTGATTTTCATGAAATGTTCTAAAATTCCATTTTTTAAATATGGATATATATAAGCAAGAATGTAATCCATAATTAATTCAATAAACATTGAGGCAATTTTAAAGTTTTTAGATATGCTAAATGATTTGAGTAATTAATCTCACCGAGGGTATTTTGTGTAATTTTCGAAATAAAAAGTCACACAAACTTGAAACCGCTGTAGCTCTTCCATGCATATATCCGAATGCAATAGCCAACAATTTGAAATAGAAGAAAATAAGAAATGAATGGTATTCGAAAATCTGGTTCCAATATGCCTTCAATTGGTGGTAATCGAAATTCCGCACCCTCATATCTGTCCATCTGTACGGTTGAATTGAGCCAAGTTGATCAGGAGAATACCTACAACATTAACTTCAACGTCTTCCAGCCAGCAGTTCCTAACATTTCCAATAGCATATGACGTTATTGCATGAACTCTGTTACAATGCAAACGAAATTTGCATATATGCAAATTTGTCTGAAATAAATTTCTTTAAATATATTGAAGCAAATTATATGTTCTTTTAAAAAAATAGAAGAAATAAGTATTATCTTTTTTGATCAGACGAGAAAATATAACAGTATGATAGATTTAGCTGAGTTGAAAGTGATATCTGCGAAATGTACAATGTCACACATTTTATTCGAAATCAAACATCTATTATATAGTAGTTGACCTTTTTATCCTCTAACATAAGAGAAACATAAGTTTAGTTGAAATATGAAATATTTCAAAGAGTTTTGATGTGATCTCTTGTCATGTTTAGTAGTAATAATAGTTATTTCCTGCACGAAGAAACGTCAAACTTTTCGGTAGAGTATCGTGAAAAATTAAAATTGCACAGAAAGCATTGTGAATGTTTGTATAAAAATATCAGTTTGTGATTACGGCAATGTAATTAAAAATTTTCGATCTGCGATGGAACTGAAAATTTCCCATATTTGAGATGTATGAGGCGAGAAATATATCGATGACATTCTAATCGTACTTGAGCTTAGAAAAGGAATCGTTTCATTTGTAGAGTGTAAAAAACTTCTGTTTCAAAATAAAATAAAGAAATTAAGCTGACTGAAAAAAATTGCACCATTACAAATATGATTGATATGATATAAATGCAGTACTAATTAATCTGTCTTAATAAGACCAATAGTATTTTGAATTAATCAAAAGAACACTAATTGCCATAAGTCCAATTACTATAACCGTAATCATTAATTCACATATATGCATTATATATATCTAAAAATCGTTATAAAAAAATATCGAAAATTCTGTAGAGTGGGCAGAATTTCTCAGAATGAAATATTTCAAAGTTTTGAGATTTTTCAATAAATAATTGAAAGGAAAATAAACAATTTTGAACGAGAAATTGTATTAATAGAACAACGGACAAATTAAATGAAATGAAAAAGTTAGTTTTTAAGTATGAATGATATTTTGAGGAAGAAACGGAAATTATGAGCATAATAAATTGGTCATATTCACAATAAAATTAAGACAAATTTGTTAATAAGTGTGGAGAAACGAGAGAGAGAGAAAGAGAGAGAGAGAAAAAGGCAAAAAAGTGAGGAATTTTCTAAGTATTTATAAAAATTGGATTATAAACATTAATTGAACTGCATGTACTGCAGAAAATATAACATTTTCTACGAGGAGTTTCAGCTCAGAAAACGAGGAATGGCAAAATCAAAAATATTTCAAAATTCATTAGAAAATGAAATATTCATCATAAATGAAAATACAAGTTTGTATTTTGAATTATGAAGTATTTACTTTTCAACGAAAACCCAAAACAGAACTTGAATTCAACCTCATTCGATTTAAATTATTAGCATGGAATGGTTGAAATTAATAAGTGCATATTAATAAAGAAGCGATATCAGCTAAAATTATTTAAAAACTACCAATTAAATTATGGCAAATTAAATTAATCTGTAGTTATTTACGTCAGAAAAAGGTATTGATTTGTCATCTTTTTAGCTCAACACAGAAACGAAATTCTGAATTTAAGCATGCAGGAGATTGTTAAATCTAAAATTTCTGTAAATCAAGAAGAATTACCTAAAATGTCACCAAATGCTAACCTGTTCTTATCCTTACTACCATTATACCTTGCCCAAAACTACCTTTGAACCAATGCATTTGCATTATTACATATGCAACCATTGCAACCGTGACCCATTGCAACCGCAAATTCTATTTGTTGTTGTATGAACAAAAAAAAAAAAATAAATTCCGAATTTTTCATGTTTTAAAGTCTATTAAAATGTCACTAAAAGCGTATTTGCTCAATATTTCATTGAATTTAAATTGATAGATGGAACCTACCAATAACTGAAAAAGTATCTTTAAACACAGTTGGTTCCGGAAAAATTTTTTTCAAAAAATTTTATTATAGCCAAATAAACAAAAAAAAAATTATGCAAAACGATGATTATAAAATGTTCGAAGTTTCGATTTTTCAAACAGACATTTTGTTTGAATTAAATTTAAGTTTGGAAAGCAACCAAGAAATGGGAAAGAATTATAAAATATCTTTCTGAATAGAATTTCAATAAAGTACACAAAAGCGCATATCAAGTTGAAAATTCAAACATTTTTTTTTT